CACACACACACACACACGCACACACACACACACACCCACCCACCCACACACCCACCCACACACCCACCCACACACCCACACACACACACACACACACACCCACACACCCACACACCCACGCACCCACACACCCACACACCCACACACCCACACACCCACACACACACACACACAGTACAGCCCCAGAAGAAGGTTCTTGCAGCGAAGATGGGGCATGCATGGTCTTGCTGGGGCATGTTTGCATTTCGCACGCCTTTCGTGCAGCTTTCGTGCAAATCAATCATACACTTCCGAAACACACATTCCAAACAGTGTTTCTTGGTGCTGTCGTGAGTTTTGCGAGACATACCTTGGAAGATGTTCAGCAGGGGCGGAATCATCATCCCATCTTTTCTGGGCATGTGCTCGTATATCGACAAAACCAACCAAAACGACGTCCCACGCAATCAAACCAAGCAGTTTCCTATCGCGACTCCTCCGCGAAGCTTTCGCGCGCGCACGAGCGGTTTGCATAATTGTATATGTTCGAACAGATTGTCGCATAAACTTACAGACAACACCGAACAACCAGAACAACCCCCCATATGAGACCATCACAGCATCGCGAACAAATTGCAGTTGCCTGCAACCCTGAGTTCAGCACGAATCTTCTGGACATGGCCGTTAAAATCATCCTCTGGCAAACCATCAGTGTAGCTAACAAGGGGGAAAGGCAGTTCAAAACCTGACGAGACGAGTGAAGGAAGCCAATTTGCCTCGCCAGCCGGCTCTGGAACCCAATCCCTGCAGTGCATTGCCGCACCAGAGTGGGTGTTTTCAGGCTTCCCGCTCGGGTGCGTGCCCGGCATAGCTTTCAGCCTCGCAAATGGCACCACGAAAGAATCGAAAGCCAGAACTACATCCCATGCTTGCCTGGAGCGACTGTCCCATGACGAAGCATCGAGACTTGGGGCCAAGTCTGATACAACCAGGACTGCTATAGAGCACTGCCGGAAGTGGACACACTCAGCGCCAAGCACATTGCAGACTGTGGTGTGTCTAGCCCAGTTGTTCGCGCAGATGCTAAAAGCAAAGGCAAGCACAATCATCTTTCGCAATCTGGCACTTGTGCAGGAGTCTAGCTTTGCAGTGTTGTGGCATTGTGCCAGCATAAACTTTCACTGCTTCGAGGCCTTCTGCTTAATTGTGCAAGTCTCAGAAGCTATGCCTTAGCATCAACATTCGCAACTCAGCAGGGTCTTCACAAAGCTCCAGTCGCAAGTGTGCCAAAGTGTCCGACAAGAACGAGGTCGGTCTTTTTCCTGAGATTCAGGAGCAGGAACAGCTGTACCCACTTGAAGCACACCTGTGATGTCTTCTGCGGCTTTTGAGGCAGATGCGTGAGAACCTCGCAGCGAAGGCACGTCGATTCTTTCTGAGAGCGCTTCCGTCTCTGGGCCTCTCCCCGCGTGGAGTGATGACTCCTGTCCAGGCAGACTTCAGGGACACGAGGCCTCGTGGCAGTCCGGAAGCGCTCCTGTGCTCCAAGCCGTGGTCGGATCTGTCCATGTGCTTCGTCGTCCACACCTGCTGCACAAGCACACAAGCCTTTCAATGCAACTTGTCGCTGGCGTGCCTTTGCCAGGTGTTCCATGGGGACCTCTGCCAAGGACCGCTGACCCCGCTTCTTCGAGTCGTGCAGACGCTTGTATGCGTCCAGCACGGATACCTCTGTGGCTCCCACCGACCCCTTTACACGATCCGTGGCACATGCTTGCGCAGTTGACATCAAACCCATGCAAGCGCTTAAACAAAACCCATGAGGTTGGGATATCCACTGGACATCCCATAACCCTCTGCGTGAGTAAGCTAACAGATGCTAACAGCAATCTCCCACCCAAAAACATATGTCCGGGTGCTTGTTGGTTCACGAGCCATATCTACTTGCGAAGTTTATGTCCTTGAGGGCACCATTGCAGCCTGCAGTCGAAAACTGCTCGGAAGTCAAGCCAAGCTCGCATTGCATGGTTTCCCGTCGTTGGCACTCCATCAGCGTGCTTGCTTTTTTTGGTTTGGCCCTTTATGGTATCTAGAATGTAGCAGCCAGAAGTTCGACGTTTAGCGGAGTCTGGCGCAAAGCAGGAAGGCGCACTGCATTGTCCAGCAAACTGTTGACCGCATAGAGAGTCGATTCTGCCTCCGAATTCAAAACATGCCGGCAAAGCTTCTCGACCAATGCTTGATGCTGCAAACATGCCGTAGCATGCTCATGCGATCTCACCCATTATACCATAGTTAACAAAAGTCGCGTGCCTTGGCCAATGCCATTGTCGACTGAAGCTCGCTGCACAAATACGCAGTTTCTCGCAGGGCTTCGGTCGGGTCCTGCTGAAGGTCATATAGGAATTACCCAATTCTGTGCTGTCTTCGTTTCATGAAGTGGTTGGTTCCCACCTACTTTACCAGGCTTTACCTAAGGAGGCAGAACATGGTATCGAACTTCCAGTTGCGACGAACTCCACTGCCTCGTCTCGGCTCAGCTAAGCTCAGTGCCGGGTGGGCAATCCCAACAAATTCACTCTTCTTTTACCTTGTGTTCACTCTTTCAAACCTGGTGTGGTGGGGTCTGGCTCCGTCGGACGTCCTTCACTACTGGTTTCAAGCTCGGAACGTCGTTGGCTTGCGACGTGCCGCCTTGTCTTTGTTGCGGGCTGGGCCCTCTGTGTGCTCTGGCTTCTAATACCTTCTCAAACTGAGAGGAGCCCCGCAAAGTGCCGAACACGAGGCTAGTCTGTACTGGGCCCTAGGACTTCAGTGTCGCAGAATTTCGAGAAGCCACTGCAAGTCCTGGATAGGTTGATTCTCCATGTACCAAGTGGTCCTGCCACTCAGCGGCAGTCTGTGCGTCATCACTCTGCCGCCCAACAGTGACTCAGTACATGTCCTCAGCTCAGGAGTATCTCGCGTGTACTGCACCTGACACAAGCACGCTGTCAGAAAATGTGACTACTGGCTGCAACACTCACGCTTCGAGCAGCTCATGGCAGCAAGGGCGCAGGACCAAGAGTTTGAATAGTCCTGACATGTACACAAGACCAGCATTCACGATCGATGAGAGCGTTTAAGAAAACCGACGCAAATGGAGCTTCGACCTCAAGCCGTAGTGCACGGTAGCATATGAGCTCAGCTGCAAGTCAACAATGCTCGAAAACTTGAGCCTGTCAGTCCGTGCCTTGCAGCACTGCGTTTGCGTACGGACGGCAACAAGCACGGAGTTGTCGATCGAAACTTGGAAGGTCACTAAAGGCCCTCCAAACAGCAAAGCTCCTGTTCTTCGGTGGGGGCAGGTCGACAAATGGCCTTCGCACCTGAGGTTCAAACCAGAAACTACTGAAGCTCTTGCAGTCGCTCTTCAACTATGCTTCCGGCGTTCCTCTGCTTGAGCAGGTGCACGTATGCGGGCAAGATTCGGTATTCCTTCAAATCCAACCGCATTCACAAGAGTGGCACAAGTGCACAAGCATGCTCCCTTCCTGTGTTTCTTCCTCGAACTCGGTTCGCAATAAGCATGTCAGTGGAAGTCCACGCACACGCCACCTTGGCGTCATATGTGCTGAGGCTAGGGACTCAGCAAAGACCATGGGCAACGTTTCGCATCATCTGCGATGCTGTTGTGCCCGAGTTTGCGCTTCTGCCGGCGTCTGCAAAGCTGGCGCCAGAACATGTGCACGCTCCCAATGCCCCGATGCGATCCGAAGCCGAGGCCCTGCCCGAAGCCTGCGAACTGGGCCCGGCACTCGCTGACGTCCTTCCTTGGTTTCGGCTGGCGCCCCGAATTCTTCGCCCCAGTACGCCAACCTACACACTCGTTGATTACAAGCGTCAGGTCCGAGGCTCTGCACGTTTGCTAGATTTAGTGCTTGTGCTAGTGTGGACGTTGGAAATGGGTCGGGTTGGGAGCTGGGCACATACATCACAGGCCGATTGCCTCGGCCCTCTCCATGCTCTCAAAGCTCTCATTCAGGAGCGAGCCTGATCGAGCCTGCCTTGAGCTGACGACAATGAAGGGCTTTCGCGATGTGTCGGTGCCATTGCGAAGTTTCCATCGCTCTCTCTTCGCGGGTGGACCAACACATGCTAGCACAACACAACTATACACAACTGCAACGAAACAGACCCAAAGATAGTTGCAGCTGGAATTCACCTGGCCGCCGGAGTGTACAACTAATGAAAGCATGCATGCCAGATCACGCCCACTGCTCGGATCTTCTAGACACCCCCCTCGTGCTTGGCCTAGGAAATCCATCTTGCCCGGCTTGGTTGCGGAACTAGCGCCACAGTCAAATTGATGTTGAAGCCACCCGGAGTTGAAGTTGAAGTGTCGTTGGAAATGCATGTCGAGGGCATCAGATAGAAAAGCCGAACATATGATGCATGTGCGCATGCAGAAATTTCAGAAATGCCAGCACACATGCCTCTGTGCGCGTGAACCCTTGTAAGTGCCAACTCCAGTTTAGTAACTACTACCAGTACTATAGTAGTATGGTCCCAAGACATGCATCGTGATCGTCGCTGTTAGTGGCATATACCGCTATACCGCACAGAAAGCATCGTTCAGCCTTCAAGCGGACGCTTCCTTCATCTTTCGCACGTGACAACACAGGTCTGTGCAAATCCATGCACCTCCGTGCGGCTCGGATGGCAAGTAGGGCACCGGCTCCAAGTGGGAGACATGCACCAGTTGCCCAGTCTTCTCCAAGTTCACCATGATGCCCTGCAATTGCCAATGCCACATGGTGTCACATCTGTTGGTTGTGCTTTGCTTGATTGCACCAGCAATGCATGCCAGGTGTACAGCAGACCAGCCCAGGGTGTATGCCAAATCCTGCATGCTTATGACTCTCACTTATATTCACTTTTCCTACTGCGCCTGGCAAGTGTGATGTGTAGATACGCATGTCCAGTGCTGCGGATGCTGCTTGCATGCGAAACTTGTCATAACAAACGCAGTTCGACACTTGGACGATCATGTGTACCCATTCTCCGCGCTTGTCAAGGGCACATTGCGACCCATGGCATCAACAAACATCGCATCTTAGTCCGTGGCGCAATCGAAGTTTGTTGGCATGGCCGACCTCGCCTGACGAGAAAAACTCATGCTAGCATTTTCGGGCAGGGTCTACAGCGAGATTGCTATTGGAACATGGGAAATTTTGTTCGTTTCAGCTTGATTTCGCCTGTGGTTGACAGTGCTTGTCTGTTTACGGATTTCTTGGATGAAGGGGGTGCATGAAGCAGTTCGTTGGCATCTCGCGCCTGATACGCCATCGGGTAACACATGCCGTTGAAGAAATCCTGCAGCAACAAAGCGATCGGTCGGAATGACGACGGCATTGGACGATTGATTGCGAGCAAGCAGAGCTGGCAAACAACACAGTTTTTGTCATGTCGACACAACTTCCATCACGCGAGCCAGGAAACAGCTTGCACGCTGCAGGCACACAATTGCCCGCATGACGGAATCCGGCTCCGAGTGCTTGTGGCTTGACCAAGCACTGCCGTTGTCATTAGCATGCCAAAGTGCGCTGGCATGAACACCTAGCGACTGAGTGGCCACTGACTATGCCAGCATTCCCTCGGTGACTTCGTCAGCGGAGACCTCCCGAGAAGCATCAGTCGGACATTTGAGAGGCCACTTCGAGCTCTGCTTGCTTGAGATCGACAATGTGAAATACGGCTTATGTTGTGACAGCGGGTGGCCTGGCGAATTTCACCGGTAGGCCCTATGAGGTAAATTCGATCTGCGAGCTGCAGACCGTATCGTTTCGAACCTCAGGCACATAACAATCTATTGAGCCTGCTCGAGCATGCGTAAATCATTGCTTGCGAGTCTTTCTCCAACACCGAACGCAAGTTCCTAGCACTCATCTCAATCTGAGCCCGGTGCTGGTAAACAAGCAAGTACGTGGCGACCTGGACAGGCAGCGCCATCAATGGCTCTAAATTTTCGCCTGCTCAGCAAAGGCCTCGTCATGGGGTCGCTTGGATAGCCAAGACCGCGATTCGCAACGTGGCTTCTGATTACTTCCAACACCATGTGCGAGGTCCGGTCCTCAGAATCCAACCCGATGCCGGCATATGTATGTATCGCTCCCCAAAGAGTCCGAGACGTCATAGGGCATCCCGGGCTTGTGCAGCACGAGAACATCGGGGTTTGCCTTGGGCATGCCAGAACCTGAACTTTCAACGTGTGCTAAGACAGCTCAGTCGTCTGAGGGCCCGGCTACCAGTGCTCTCGCCAAGCCAAGCTTGGCTTGTTGAGTATGCGACAAGACCTTGCCCGAAGCCATGAACTCCCCGAGATCAGGACAGTCGGGACATGGCTTCTTCTCGCCTACAGCAAAAACTAGTCTAAATGTAGCTGCTTGAGTCTGCCTTGGCCTCGTGTTCTCTTGCATCCACCTTTTATACTACGTACGCCTAAGCTGCTTCCGGGGACTCTAAATGTCACTCGCAATCTTCTTTATTGAAACGGGATCGGAACTCGCCTTCGTGAAAACCCGCCGCAGCTGGGCATGTGCTTGCTGTCTCTCCTCTTTATTTGCCTGCCCTAAGGAGGAGCACCCTCCCCTTTCCGGGGATCTGTACTGGTCTGCCACCGTTGAGTACTCGCTTTAATCAGTTCTCGATGCAGCTGGGGGCAGTGCAACCAGGAACCACTCATAACGGCACTACAAGCCAACGGCCAGACTTGTTGCCTGCTCGCTTGCTTGCCAATGGTATGAGAGCAGAAACCCTCTGGCCCGGAGGTTTACAGACTTGTGTCTCTTCACCAGGCTCGAGGGCGAGCCCCCGTTGGGGACGCCCGCTGTTGAAGATTGTGTTGGGGGCTCCCGCCTGTTGAAGATTGTGTTATATTGTTTGTCGAACTGGGGACTGCAACTTCAGGCCATGGCATGTTTTTGCGGTGGACGCTCCTAACTACTCAACTACTCAGCCCACTCGTGCCAAAGTGTTGCGACATGTGGCTTAAGCCGGGGGTGGGTTCCGACTTGAGCCAAAATGGCTACCTCTCCCTCTGCCCGGCCGGAGGCCCAGGGCAGGTCAAATCCACCACTATCAGCACAAACAAACGAGCCACTCTGCGAACGCTCACCACGAAACTACGAGTCGTCCCCACCGTTGGCCCGGCCATGCAAGCAGGCAAAACAAGTCACATAGTCCTGCGTCTCTGGCTTCGTTCGCTGTCCCCCTTACTCGGCTCACTGGCAGCTCCGGACTCCCCGTTTGGCAGTCGGCGAGGTTGTCTGCGCTGCAGCCCGGCACCTCCCTTGTAGCCCCGGCATCCCCTCCAGTCGTTGTAGGAGCGATGGGGTTCCAGGGTACATGGCGGTTCCCATGGATCCTCTAGATTCATGTGGCATCATGTCCGGTGGGTTACCCCCCCGCCAGATTGATACAAGTAACATCCTGAAGGCTGTTGGTCAGGCGTTCCCCACTTGGCTGGCTGTCGTGCCACATCATGAGGTCCAGAATGTCCCCGTCGCGGCGGATCGTGTTCCATGCAGTGCCCGTCTTGGGCCAGGCGCGTCCTGGATCGCTCTGGTTGTCGGCCGCAACATCGGTATGGTGTGTAGTGCCCCGGCTTGCAGTAGCAGCACCACTTTCGGCTGCAATAAGCCGTCTCTCTCTCTCTCTCTCTGACTCTCTCTCCCCTGGACGTATGGGAAAGAGGGAAAGCCCCGATCCTTTGCGCGCACCGCGCTACGCCAGTGTTCTGAGCCCGGTCGGCGTAAGAGACAAAGTGGGCCGCCGGAGCTTTCGGGCTTGGTTGATGGACCCCATCACTCTGGCTTTCTCTCGCTCTTGCTCGCTCTCTGGCTCGCTCGCTCGGCGTTTGGGGGAGGGGGGGGGATGCGCGCTTCCCTGCCCTGCGCTGGCACGCTACGCCACTGTTCGTGTCTGGTGACGTCGGCGTGAAACTTGAGTGTGCCGCCGATTCCTGCGCAGCCCCGGCTCAGGATGCCCCCGTTGTTGCTGGGAATCGGTGGTCACAAGCGGACGACGCTGGCCCAGCTCTCTCTTCTCCTTCTTCTTCCCCGCCCAAGGCATCGGGTGCGTGTCAAAACCCCCGGCCTATTGGGCCTTTAGCCAGAATGGCCACGAATGCATTCACATGTTTCTAGCCATTCCAAGTCAAGTTATCACAGTTCGCTCTCCCTGCTGCGGACATGTCTGCACAGAACACACTCTCCCGGCAGCAGGCATGTACACGAGCGAACGATGGCGTGACTAGCACGTAGAGACTAAGTCCCTAGGAAAGCGCGTAGCAACGCCTAGAAACGAAGTTTCTAGCCCGAAACACCTGCGATGATTTCGGTGGGAAGAAGAGACGGCGCTAGCGCATATAGTCGTAACTCGTACCTCGTCACGAAGTACGTTCCTGGTATACTCTCCGGATAGGGTTGGCGATGCCATAGAGAATGCAGTTGTCGGCAGTGGCGAGGTGGCGGCAAAGTCCCCGCTCGAAGAGTCGCCGAGCCGGATCGCGCGGCTGAGGTAAGAGGCCTGTGGGCTCGCCGATCACGTAGGGGCCTTAAGGAGGGAGGTCGAGGGCAGCGGTCACCGGCCGGGAGCATTGCACAACTATCTCGCTCACAAGGGCGGTGAGCTGGGACAGGAGTGAGGATGCCGATGATCAGGTTCAGCAATCGCGGCGGAAACAAAGAATCAGGCTGAGAGAAGATCCCCGGTTGGAGAAGGAGTGGACCTCGAAGCAAGGAGAGAAAAGGAGAAGCAAGGGCGGAGAGGCCACTCCTCCTTGAACCTCTCTCTTCTTCTTCCCTTGGGCATAGGGGACTGTTGAGGTCCCCTGGCCTTTTGGCCCCCCATTTGTTATGGGACTTTCAGGGGACGTGAAAAGGTACAGGTCTGGACCTCGGTTTGGGTAGAAACACCGTTACAGTACAAGCAA